ATGGCGGTGGTATTTTTGCTCTGCTTCTTCGTGGCAGACGCTTTCCCTGGGCCTTCTCCTCTGCCAGGACCTTGGGCCAACCCCTTTCCTTTGCCAGGTCCAGTGGCTTTCCCTAATCCTCTCCCTGGGCCCTTACCCCTGCCAAGCCCCCTACCAAGTCCAGTGGCTTTCCCTAATCCTCTCCCTGGGCCCTTACCCTTGCCTAATCCTCATCCTGGACCTTCACCCCTGCCAAGCCCCCTGCCAGGTCCTTTAGCTTTCCCTAACCCTCACCCTGGGCCCTTACCCTTGCCTAATGCTTACCCTGGACCTTCACCTTCCCAAACCCCCTACCAGGTCCAGTGGCTTTCCCTAATCCTCACCCTAGGCCTGTATCCCTGCCAAGCCCCCTGCCAGGCCCTGAACCTTACCCCGGCCCCGTTCCACTCCCTGACCTCCGACCTTACACCCCAGATCAGTTCCAAAACACCGGTCCTTATTCTCCTGACACTCTCCCTGATACCAAACCTTACTTCCCTGACTTGTACCCTGATACCAAACCCTATTTCCCTAATCCTGATACCCGACTTAACTTCCCTGGATCGTATCCTGATACCAAACCTTATTCTCCTAATCCTGATACCCGATTTAACTTCCCTAACTCGTTCCCTGATACCTTAGCTTATTCCCCTGACCCTAACACTCAGTCTTTCCCTCAGAAGGACTTCGACACCCGACCTTACCCTCAAAATGACCTTGATTCCCGCCCTTTCCCTCAGAATAACTTCGAAACTCGACCTTATCTTGAGAATGACCTTGATTTCCGACCATACCTTGAAAATGACCTTGATTTCCGACCTTATCCTCAGAATAACTTCGACACCCGCCCTTACATTCAAAATGACCTTGACCCTATGCCCTATGATGACCCCTTCCCCCTTAATGCTCCTTTTAAAGACATAACCGACAAGCACCCGAAACTTAGGTCCTTCTCGCCCTCAAACACCGCCAAGGATCTGCAACACTCGAGTTATTCCTTCACTCCCGAGGTCCCCCTTCACTCGAACCACCTTCCCGCCTCGTCCCCCCTCGACTTTGGGCCTCAGGATGGTCGCCAGTTCGAAGACGAGGTGTTCCATAACGAAGGAAAATTCGGTTATTTGCAGCCTCGTCTGAATCGGGTCTTCAGTCGAAATGTTTATAACACGCCTGTCCATACTCCGTTAAAATGGTAAGTGAAATATATTACAAGAGTGTTTCGTATATAATGCTTATGGATCGTTCTTTTGATATAATAAGAAAGGCAATATAACGATTTTGTAATGAGTGTGCTATAATAATAAATAATAATATAAAATAATAAACTCAAAATTGAAACTGTTTTTTTTTCTTTTTTTAAAATTCGAAGTCATATATTTTTAGTTTTAGTAATCCTTTGACTTTAAAACATCTCAACACAAGCATGCCTTTAATTTAAGTGGACTCATTCTCAAAGGACATGTATCCTGTTTGTATTGTAAATAAACTTTAGAAATAGTTAAAGTTTATTGAAGGTACAATTCTAAGTTTACCTAACCTTCAAATAGCCTTATTACTAAACAATATCTCAGTCAAATATATTTCAAACTCCAAAAAGTCACAGTTTCCCAAATGGTACTTTTTTCACCAGATAAGCTAAACTTTCTAAAATCATACGATATTCGAGGTTTCAAAGTACGTGAATAACTTATACATCCACCTATTCAGCTGTAGAGTGCTGTTTTAGTAACTTTTTCATTATTCATTTATCCTGTTTAGCTGTAGAGTCTTTTTTTACGATCTCACTCACTCACCCTTTTTAGAAGTCGATTTTACTAATTAATTTAATCATTTATTCGTCCTATTTAGCAGTAGTCTGTTTTACTAATTCTTTCACCCTTTTCACCAGTAGTCTATTTTTACTCATTCATCCACTCACCCTATTCAGCAGTAGAGTCTATTTTCCCCATTCCTTCACCATGTTCATCAGTAATCTATTTTATTCACACATTCACTCATCCTATGCAGCAGTAGAGTCTATTTTACTCATTCATCCATTCATCCTATTCAGCAGTAGAGTTTATATTACTTACTCATTCATTCATTAATTCACGCCATTCAGCAGTAGAGTCCATTTTACTAAATCATTCATTCATTCACTCACCCTATTCAGCAGTAGAATCTATTTTACTAGCTCATTTATTCATCCAGTCATCCTATTCAACAGTAGACTATTTCACTAATTGATTAATTCATTCACCCTCTTCAGCAACTTATAAAACCTATGTTACTACTTCATTCATTCACTCACTTCAGCAATAGGGCCTATTTCACTAATTCATTCAGTTATTCACGCAATAGAGTCTATTTTGCTCATTCATTTACTCAACCTATTCAGCAATATAGTCTATTTTACTAACCCATTCATCCTATTCCAAAAAAACGGTTCTATTCTGCAGACTAATAGAGACTATTTTACATATTCACTCATCTTATTCAGCAGTAGAGTCTATTTTACTAACTCATCCATTCATCCTTTTACAAAACTCATGTCTTATTCAAAGGTTGAGTCTATTTTACTTGTTCATTCATCCTATTCAACGATAGAGTCTATTTTAATAACCTTGTTCATTCATTCTCCTATTCAGCAGTAGAGTCTATTTCCACCAATTCATTATTAATTCATATTCATGCCATAGAGTAGAGTCTATTTTATTAACTCATTCATCCTATTTCCAAGAAATCCTCAAGGGTGTCCTGTTATGCAACGAGCCTTAGAGTGGGCCTATTATCACCAGGGGCTAAGGTTGCGAGAACGGGTCGATATACAACGTCTCTAATTCAGACAATGAATAGTCTGATTATTAGCTGAAACCGTTTCACCTGTATATCACATATTAAAGACGGGTTTCGTATCTCTGCAGCAGATACTATATCCTTTCATTCATTCATCCTCTTTCAAGCGAGTATAGTCTATTTTCACCAACTCATTCATTCAGTTTTATTAGCATAGAGTCTAGTTATTCACCGGGACTCCGATTCATTCATCAGCTTTTGGTCCTTCAAATACAAGAAGGTGAAGAAAAGGAAAGGGTAACAGTATTATCACAAAGCCAACTCATTACATTCATTATATTCAGACAATAGAGAGTACTAATCTTCACCAATCAGTTCAGTTACATTCACAAACACGATAGATAGATACTTCTTACCGGTCCGAGCCAACTATCAGTTCGCTACCCACGCCATCACTCTGATGCATGTGTGTATAGAATTGCGTTCAACTCTGCGTGCCTTGTGTTTCTTAGTTGGTATTCTATTGGTGACTATGACCTGTTGTTGGATTGGACTTGAGGAGTGTATAGAGTTTATATTAACTTAGTTTTTTTACGATATATATTATAGTTTTAATATTTAATTTATTATTATAATTATATAAAATTAATTAATATATATGATAATATTATATAATATATATATTATAATTAATTATATATTATATATATTATATTAAATATATAATAATATATAATATAATATATATATATTGATTCTCTCTATTCTATAATGGCTTAGTGATATAAAAGGTGCTATTCAAACAGTTTGGCATGAATATCTAGTCTCGACATGTGACGGACACACATATTATTATATATTATATCTACTATTACCTGAGATATATATATATTATATATATAGGTAATATACTATATTATATATTAACTATATATATATATAGGTATATATATATGTGATGTATGTTGGACTTGTGGTTTTGGTTCTATATAATTAATTAATTATATATACTTAATTTAGTATGTATTAATTTAATATTATTATATATAAATATAATATTAATATAATTTAATCTATATCATAATATTATGTTATACTTTATATATATGGTTAGCATGGTGGTGTGTGTGTATGTTATTAATTAATATTATATATTATATATTAATATATATATATATTATTAATAAATATAATAATAAATAAAATAATAATAATATATATATATATAATATATATATATATAATATATATATAATATAATATATAATATATATATATAAAAGCCTAGATTTTAGGTTATGTCTTTTATGAAGTGAATTATTAATACTTTATATAGTTAGTTAAAAGCATAGGTATTAAGTTTTAGATGTTATTTAATGGTAATTAACTTATATCTCTATAAGATCAAAACTCACTGATTTAGATTTTAACTTTATTATATGTAATACAACACGGACCACGAAACACTAATCTCACACTATTAATTGACTACAGCTTTATAAGTCACTAATACAGCGACTTAGGTATAAGTGGGCAATGTATATATAGATAATATAAATTTTAGCCAATTTATGATTATTACCAAAATGAGGTGTAATTTATAATATGTAGTATGTTAGCATACTAGATTATTAGCCATTCTGTTATTTTCTCCATCATTTATAAAAATCATTCTCATTTATAAGCTTACAAACCCAAGATACAGAACGATATACCAACAATCACTTTGTATCCCCAATACATATACCACAAACCAACAATTAACAACCCTTGACAACCAGTTATCAATCTTGTTTGAACAAATTGTAAGAAAATAAGTGAGTATGGTAGATGAGACTGGATATCTACAATATAAGAGATGATACTTGACCCGGTTTCGATTTCCAATCTCCCGCAGGAATAAACATGTATAAAAAATATATATATATTGAATCGAAAAACCGGTCAAAATCTACATTCTTTGTGATTGTGAAGATATCCATTCTCATTCATCACCTCTTCTACTTAACAAATGCCTTACAAGAAGTCATCTATAAATTTATCACGTGCGATCGGATCAGACATTCTAAATTCCGGATGTTGGTCTTAATAGATGAGTAACTATATAACTTTGAATTCACCTCAATTATTGTGTTTAACTCAATTGCCATTTGAATAATACGAGAATATATATAACTAAGCCTTATAAAAATGATATAATTATTAACTAAATAATGGACATATTTCGTTCAGATTATGTGGCAACCACAAGCTTGGAGTTTAACAACTCAATCATACACTTCCACATAAGCAAGACCAGTTCACTCGCTCGAGTCGGTGAGGAATCCAGACAGGGGTGGTAGAGTATCAACAGCAAATAGAGTTTGTTTATGAATGTGTGTATTTAGTATTATATTGTATAAGATTAATAATTAATAAGTTCTAGTATATTTTAATATTATTTATTACGAAGTGCTACCGAATCCACACAGTACTTCCCCAACCTCATACACACATCACTATTAGATATATAATGTATGGTGTTTATATAATAAATTAGTATAATTGTTTCGTTTAATTATTAGTTTAATTGTTTATTAATTACTTTTATACACTCATAACCATGTTATAATTATTATTTTTACACCATCCCATCATTATATATCATTCTATATTTTTAGTCAACTCACATTGTATTACAAGAACATAAGAAAAATAAATTTAATTAAATATCCTATTTCCACTCAATAAAGTGATAATAAAACAATGATAGAAAAGTTATAAAAAAATTAATAAACACGTAAATTACTACGGTTCATGGTGGGTTAAAAGAATGGTGTCATTATACGTGGTTATTTAGTATTGTAAATGTACCACTTAGGTTATATGTGTACTTCTTTGAATGTTATTGCTAATAAGTTGAGTCTTGATTTGAGTGTAGTGCCATCATGTTGGTTTTATGGTGTGGCAAGATGGTGAGGTAATGTCTAATGATTTTCCTATTTGTAATAAAAGTCTCCTCTTGTATGTGGTTAATAATCTATTATTTTGCTATATCCGTTGTATTCACTATTCTTGGCTTGTTTTAGGGAATTTGCCCATCAGAGGAGGTTTCTTTCTTTTAATACTCTCTCTTCTCTCTCTGCCCTGTCTCTGGATCATCCCTCGTATGTACTCTCTCCTATCATCATCAAAAGCCAGCATATACATTCAAATCAATCGTAAATCATATATCCTCATCGAATAAGAATCTACTCATAATCTAATCTTAATCTATGACTTATGTGTTAGATTACTATATATATATATATAGAACAATATTAACGGAATCGAAGGATTATACTATTGTATAATAAGTCAATTATGTTCAATATACATTTGTCTGTATATCATGATACATTACATGGTACTTATCATCGGTCATCATAACACACA